GTCAGCTTGAGCAAGATTTTAAGTCCAAAGGTCTGAAAACACTAATTTGTTCAGCAATGGGATGTGTGCGAGATCTGATTGAACCACAACACTTCACACAAAACATCGTAAACTTCCATCGTTCAACAGGAGCATCAGTTTACATTATCTCCTACAGTCAAAAGGCACAGAGAGTCCTTTGGAGAGGTCTTACACACGAGGAATTTGTCAAGACCTTGAAACTACAAATCTCAACGAAGCTTCAAGAGACTCAACCTACAGCAAGTCTTCCTCAGATGACATCACCAAAAATACCTGTCACTACCATGCAACAGATGCAGCAAGATCTTCCCACTGAGCACCAACTGCGGCTGTCTTCTTCATCAACCTCCTCTAATTGTCTTCCAAGACTCCAACAACTGCAATCCTCATCATATCCTACTGTTACACAACTACCACAACATCCATCTACTTCAATATATCCATCATACCTTACACAGATCCCTCCCTCAGAACTCTTTCAACAGTCATTATCCTCCAAAAGCCTGGCACACCATCCCACCGTAACGTCCACTCCGAATAGTACTGATTTCCACCAAGCACCTCAGCAACCTGAATGTACATTATTCCCACAGTCCTCTCCAATCATCCAAACACCCCACTCATCCAAAATACCCAACCAAGCCTCTTCCCCTAGTGAAGTGCACGAAAAAATGAAAAGTGTTGATTTGAGTGGTGATCCTAATATGAGCAGGGGTTTTTTAGATTAATGCAAGTCAATGTTCAATGTTTAAGAAACAAAGAGTTGTACCTTGAATCTGTTAGTGAAAAAAATAATATTAATTTAATTTGTGTTTCTGAACACTGGCTTAAACAAGAACAAATTGATTTGTATGTACCAAAAAATTTTATACCAGCTAATGTAATTTGTAGAGCTTCAAAAAATAATGGGGGGGTTGGAATTTATGTCAGGGATGGTATAAAATTCTCTATTATAGATGTATCACAGTTTTACTCTGAAGTTGACTTTGAGCTTTGTTGTATTAAGTTAATAGATGAAAATATATTAATCTTAAGTATTTACAGATCTCCAAATGGGGACATCAATATATTTTTTGAACAGTTTGAAGAGGCAATCAGAAAGATATTAAAAAATAGATCCAAAATAATAGTGGCAGGGGATTTTAATATTGAAATGGCCAGGCCATCTGATAATGATTTAAAGTTTGTAAAATTCAGCAATATACTCAGATCTCTTAATCTTTTTATCACAAATTTTCAGCCTACTAGAGGTAATGCCTGTATAGATAATGTTATTGTTAACTTTAATGAAAACCTATATAGTGTGAAGTGTGATGAAAACTGTTTTGCAGATCACACTCCACTCTTATTTGAAATGGTTACTACATCAAATACAAGTAAAAATAGCCTTGATTATAAAGCCTCCAGTGTATTTATCAGGAAGCAAAATGACCAAAATTTAAACTTATTTATTTCTTACTTAAGGGAGGAAAGGTGGGAAATGATTGATGATTATAAACATAACAAAATTAGTGTTGAACATTTGTTTGATAGTTTTTTTAAAAGATATGTGAATTTATGGCACAATTGTTCCCCATTGGTCAAAGTAACGGACAGGCAACCTAAAAATAATAAAAATAATAAGCTTATAAAATGGTATACTCCTGAGCTTAGTATAATTAAGAATGATATGCTCAAGTACTTTACTGTCTATAAAAACTTAAGATCTACAGGTTCTGAGCTAACTCAGGCAGCTTATAATGTTTATATGAACCATAAAAGATTCTATAGAAATAAAATGACTCTTGCCAAAAAGAACGCGGTTGAGCACTTCATCAGTAATGCTTCCAACCCATGTCGTGCTGCCTGGGCGGTAATTAAAGATGAGCATTCACCAACTCATAGTCAAGATGCCATACTTGACCCAGATGAAATGAATTCATATTTTTTAGATTCAATAAAAGAATTAAGTAAAGTAATACCACAAAGCCCTTACAAAGCAGAAGATTTTTTAGGAAACAACTCAACAAATACAACTTTTTCTTGGTCAGAGGTCTCATCATCGGATATAATTAAAGTTGTTGCTAAATTAACAAATTCTAAATCAATGGATTATTATTGGATTTCTAATAATATTTTGAAAAAGACTATAGGTTTTATTAGCTACCCTCTTGCTTTTATATTGAATACCTGTATGAGGGAGGGATATTTTTCTCCATCCCTCAAAATATCGAAAGTAATCCCAATATTCAAAAAAGGTGATAAAAAAATGGTTCAAAATTATCGGCCTATTTCACTTGTTCCTATTTTTTCCAAAATATTTGAAGCAGTAATGTATAATCAATTAAATAATTACTTTGAAACAAATAACCTATTGTCAAACTCCCAATTCGGCTTTCGTCGAGGTAAATCCACAACCTCAGCAATTCTCACTTTAGTTGACCATTCTCTCGAAACTTTAGAAAAGAAGGAATCTGTGTCATTAGTTTTATGTGATTTAAGTAAAGCTTTTGACACGGTTCCTTTTGATATCCTAACTAACAAACTACGTTTTTATGGCATCACTAATGATGCCATGCTTCTAATTTCTTCGTATTTATGTAATAGACTTCAATTGGTATCAATTAAAAATAAATGTTCTAAAACTGAAAAAGTTGAAACCGGTGTTCCTCAGGGCTCTGTACTAGGGCCATTTTTCTTTAACGTCTACATTAATGATCTTCCTATAAATATAAATACACAATCTGTTATATATGCGGATGATACAACTTTACTCGCTAACCATTCTAATTTAACAACCCTGCGCTTAATTAGTCAAGAGGCTGAACATAGAGCATATGATTGGTTTTCTGCAAACAGACTATCTTGTAATTCTGACAAATCACAATATATAACAATCAGTCTTAAAACAGAGGTAAAATTTGAATCAGTTAAACTTTTAGGATTTAATTTGGATTCAAAATTAAATTGGTCATCACACATAAAATCTGTTTGTAACAAAATTTCAAGAGTGAGGTGCTTGCTGTGGAAACTTAAGGATTTTGTTAGTCAAGAATATTTAAGATTGGCGTATTTTGGACTCTTTCAATCGCACATACTATATGGTCTTATTTTGTGGGGCCACTCTCCACATATTAATGACATCCTTTTACTCCAGAAAAAGGCGGTTCGAAGCATTGCTGGAGAATGCTCAGATACACATTGTAAACCTCTTTTCATTAATTTCAGGATACCAACCATAGTAAATCTTTATATATTCCAAATTCTAATATATACAAAGTCAAACTTAGATCAATTCTCTTTCCGAAAAGACGTACACAATCACTATACAAGAGGTAGGGATAAAATAGATATATTGCAGCACAGATTGGCAAAAACCAAACATTCACATAAATTAAATTGCATAATGTTTTTTAATAAGCTGCCTGAAGAAGCAAAATTAGTTTCTTACAGTATTTTTAAAAATAAACTGTATGACTGGATTGTTAAAAATCCCTTTTACAAAATTGATGATTTTTTAAGTTGTGAAATAAATATTAGATTTTGAAGAGTAAGTTGAAATAAAGCTTTTATTTTCATGTAAGTGACTATTTAAATTTAGATATTTTGTACTGTAAACACTGAATCACCTTGTAACTATGTATAACAATGACGTGTCCTATTTCTTTTATAAAGATCAATGGAAATAAATATTTCTTATTCTTATTCTTATTCTTATTCTTATTCTTATAGTTCTCCATATACAGAGTGTCCCGGAACTCTCTACCAATATTTTAGGGCATTGTTCCTGGGTAGTTAACATACCTAAATATCATATTTAAATTGTCCGGAAGTCCTTAGTTACTCACACAGCCGCCTTTTTGTTTTTTTAAGTTATTAATTTTTTTCTAAGGAATGGTTATTGAAACTTTGCACAAACATTTATGACAACTAGACAAAGCTACCAAAAAATTATGAAGATTTTTAAAATTCATAAAACAAAATGGTGGCCATTTTAAGTTTTGTTTCTTAAATAACTCGAAAACCATTGATTTTACAAAAATTTTACAAGAATAACTTTTTTAAGGTAATTTTATTACAAATCGATTGACACCTTAATTTTGAAGATTGAACAAGTATTAACTAAGATATGGTAGTTTTAGTGATACGGACCGCTTTCAGCATGCGCTGCAACTAACCTCCAGCGGTTACGAATCACTAAAACTACCATATCTCAGTTAATACTTGTCCAATCTTCAAAATGAAGGTGTCAATCGATTTGTAATAACATTTCCATAAAGTTATACTTGTACAATTTTTGTAAAATCAACGGTTTTTGAGTTATTTGAGAAACAAAATTTTAAATGGCCGCCATTTTGTTTTATGAATTTTAAAAATCTTCATAATTTTTTGGTAGCTTCGTCTAGTTGTCATAAATGTTTGCGCAAAGTTTCAATTTCGTATGTTTAACCATTCTTTAGAAAAAAATTAATAACTAAAAAAAAGTGGGGACACGCTCGGTACATGGGGACACGGATTACGCCCAACACAGATATTAACTCTGTTTATATTACTTCTCTGTGACTAATCTTGTTTAGGCAAAGATAATAGCCTATATATTGGATTAAGAAATGAAGCTATTCCAAACTAACCTAACATAGCTAACCAAACTTGCTGTGGCCTAAGTTACCGTTTCAAAATTCCGTTTGATAACAGAAAAGGCATATATTTTATATGTTTATATAAAAGGCTTATATATATGAGGAAATATATAAGCTATCAAACGTAATTTTGAAATGTTACAGCAAGTTTGGTTAGTTAGGTTAGTTTAGAACAGTTTCGTGAACAGTTCTATTAGTTTAGTAAAAAAAAAAAAATATATATATATATATTAGGCCTATATTTAAATCCATTAATTTGTGTATATTTATATTTCTACCTACTTGTTTATGATGAGTTATAACATTGCAAACTCTTTTAAATGATATTGAATATCCAATAAAGCTGTGTGATACTTCCAGGTTATGTTCGGTTCCTCAATGATCGGAGAGAAACTGTTAGAAATGAAAACCCAAATATGCCATTTTCTGAAATAACTAAGATTCTTGCGGGAGAATGGAGCAACCTTCCAGCAGAGGAAAAACAGGTATTTTATTATATTATTTATGATATACCAATTAATTAGTGTAAACATGATGATCTATTTGAAAGAAAAAAATTAACAATTAACTGTTGTGTGCCAGACTGGTGGTTTTCTTGGAATACTGATCAAATTTGTTGTCAGCAATATCTAGATGCTGCTGATCAAGATAAAGAGCGTTATAATGAGGAGATGAATGCCTACAAGAAAACAGAAGCTTACCGACTGTTTACTCAGAAACAAGCTAACAAAAAACAGAAAGAGGAATCTCAAGATGAGGTAAGGAGATAGATGACTTTTTTAAATTTTCGATAAGCTGTTAACCATTTTCTTTCTACACGTTGTTCTAATGTGGCAAAGAATTGAGGTTACAGTAGACTCCCTCTAGTTCGGCCACCTCGGGACCGGACTACAAAACGGCCGGACTAACCGGATGTAGTAGAACCTCAATTATCTGGGGTGATGGGAGGAGACCACCGATAACTGAAAACCACGGTTAATCCAACATGGCATGAACATATATTACATACCCATAAAACACAGCGAATACTTTATAAAATGGACTTTAATGTGATAATTAATTTGCATTTTCATAGTCAAAATACAAATAATAGTGTTGCACAGTCGTGATATGTTAAAGCAATAAATCATGTAAAGAACAGAACAATAGAAAGTCTAGTACCGGTACTGCAAGCTACTGCTACCATAGTCAGCATAGGCTACTACAACATGTTGTTTCAGAACATAAGAAATGTCGATAAAAACATTAACTCATAAAGCAGCATAAAATCATAGTACTTAGTCGTTGGGCGATTCTCTGGGAAGTGGTCCTGCATTGTTATTTTTAAGAATTGATTAAAACTGGTTCAAACATTGTTTTTTATATAAAACAATAATAAAATATCCCTTAACCAGTCTTTAAAATTAAAATAAAAAATTATTTTTCATGAAATGAAGCTTCAAACTTGGGCAAGTTCTATTACAGTCAAATGGTACTTTTTTCCAGAATTTTAAGTAAAGATGTTTATGGTTAGATGAGTCAATAAATTGAAACAACTTATATTAGTAAATAATTGAAAATATAATTTGTTAAACCTTTGTAAAAGAAAAAAGAAATATTAAATAGATTTTGAGATATTGTTAAATTTCCAATCCATGTTTGCTTGTCCCGTGCAACACACAAAAGGTGAGATTTTTGTTTTAAATCCCAAACTAATTTATATTATTTATTACAACTTCAAAGCAATAAAGATAAAATATAAAATGAAGGCAACAATGTAGTTTACTATTTTTTATGTACTTTATTTTTTGTTTTATAATAGATTTAAAAAGTGTCCCGTGCAACACGTGTTGCACGGGACAATTAAACTGAAGTGGTGTTTATAAATAGATACCACTTATTTTCTTTTTAATTTTTAATAGAGACAATAGTTGCATATTTATTAACACAGGACTATAAGATTTCTTATCAAAATTAAATTGCAGAATTGTAAAACTTTTTTGAGAAAATGTCCTTGTTGTAAGACGTCAGTCACGCTTTCTCAAAAATGTCTATGGGTTGTGGAAATTCATAAAATATGCGCTCTCCCTTGGATTTTAATCGTGGGGTGTCAAAAAGCTTTAATATCTGTTCAAATCCAATATAAGACTTGTTAATATCATCTAGAATAAATTTCTTCCTCGTACTGTCCATACACTTTTAAAGACATATCACTCTCACTTCTCCATCTTCTTCAACTTCACTTTCAGCTACACACAAGTATCTGTAACTGTTATCTTTCTGTGTGCCTTTAAATTCTGCTAATAAAAATGTTCCATTCTTTAAATTTTGTCAACTTCAACATTAGTTTTCACTTGATTTCCTTGAGTTTCCGGCAATTCATAATTTAAGTCTTCCTCGGAAAAATTATCATTTGTGACCATTCATTACTTTGTTCACTCACAGAATCCCTAAAAACCAAACGAAAAATTAATTCCTATTACCTCTAGCATGTGATTGCTCTTCTTTCTGTTCATAGCTATTTTTGTAAAGGTTCTTCTGTTGCAGTGCACAACGTGTGCTTTGGAGATCCCACCCACTTTCTTTCCTTTAATCCAGACTGAACCATCTCTGAGAATCTCAGAATCTAATATCAAGTGGATTTTTGTGTTCGGTAAGACCTAGACCCGGGACCGATTTACTTTTTCATTTTGATGTCCCCAGAGGCCAAAAACACCATTCGTTCAAATTTTTATATATGTATATATACCTAATGACAATTTACGGAATGTACGTTTATGAAACAATTTTATCAGTAAAGGACAGACTTCATGATTTGGAACGAGTTGGGGATAGTCATAATTATTTCACCAGAAATCGGGAAAACCTTGCAATTGGCCACCATAGTCTAAAACTTTTTGAGAAAAAACCCATGTATGCGGGATCAAAATTTTATAATAATCTCCCAATTGAAATTAAATCAGAGACTTCCAAAACAATATTTGAAAATAAATTAAAGAGATTTCTCACCAGCAAGGCTATTTTTTCTTTTGAAGAGTTGAATAGTCTTTGAAGTCAAAAACAAATTCAATTTATGTATTTTTTGTTTAGACTTAAAAAAAAAATTAAGTTTGTGAAATTTTGTTTTTATTTTATTATGTTAGAAATGTATTTCATAACTATTAGGCCTAAGCAACTGTTGACACTATTCAATGTATTATGTACAGGAAATGAATAAAGTGGTTTTGAATTGAATTGAATTGAAATCAAGTCTTTTCATTTTTAAAGACATGACGCGATCTATCTGACATTGTCAGTCAAGGATCAAGAATACAAGTATCAAGTAAGTATCAAGTAAGTAGCTATGATTTCCATGTACATCACGCCACTATGAATCGTATGATTTTCAATAAATCTCATTGGCTACAAACATCACCTGATTCCCTCTCCACCTACATCACACCACCGTCCATGTCCGTACGTCCCTACAACAGTCAGTCTACCTCCAGAATTCGAACATTAACCACCCGTTTGTAGCCGTGTCTAAAACATGTAAAATATCGTATTTATTTCAGCAGTCCACTTCCTAAGTCCAATTCAACCCACGAACACAACAAATGGCGACGAGGTCGGTCAAATTTACATACCGCACAATGCAACTGTTCGATTGTGCCGCGTAGTGTAAATTTCGAACGCGTTTGTGAATGTCGGATGACGAAGTGGACTTAGACTTACTACTGTTGTTTGAAGATAGTAGTGAAGTGTCGGGTTACTCCAGCATGGCCGGGATAATTGGCAGCATCGGCGAGTACGACCAGAACTCCGAGACGTGGTCTTCATACATAGAACGATTTGAACTGTTTGTCGAATGTAACAATATTAAGGAGGAGAAGAAGGTTAGCACTTTATTGACTGTTGCTGGTGTTAAAACGTATAGTTTACTACGGGATCTGTGCACGCCCGACGTACCATCGAAGAAGAGTTTTAAGGAAATAGTGACTATTATTAAAGATCATCTCTACCCGAAACCATCGTTCATCGCCGAGAGATACAAGTTCAGCAAAAGAATTCAGCACGAGGGAGAATCAGCTGCGGAATACATCGCGCAGTTAAGGAAGATGTCTACACATTGTGATTTCGGCGCATCTTTAAATGACTACCTGAGGGATCGTCTAGTCTCCGGAATCAGGAACGAATCGACCAAACAAAAATTGTTAGCAGAAACCAGCCTAACCTTAGACCAAGCCGTCAAAATCATCACATCAGCAGAAGCCGCTGAGAAGAATGCCGCAGCCTTGTCGATCAACGGGAGCCGCAACGTCGAGCGACTACAAAAGATGACGTCACACCATCGCAGAGTACCAGGCGGAAGCAGCGCACCATCGAGTGTCACCGTCACCGCACATACAGGTCACCACAATCACCCCAAAAGCAGCTCTTCGCACGACAACAAAGTGCAGTGTTCGTGTTGTGGAAGTGCATTTCATTTACGAAATCAGTGTCGATTGTTAGGTATAACGTGTAACGCATGTGGAAAGAAGAATCACATTGCTAAGGTTTGCCGATCTAACCCCTTAACCGCCACGCACGAGATATACCGGGCGATACTAGTTTTCAGAGCAACCGCCACGTACGAGTTATCTCGTGTTGACGTAATCAGCTGTTGTGTTTTATTTTTAACAGCTCACTTCCCGCCTTATCTCTGATATACGTACGTAAACAAGTTGTTGACAGTGCTGCTTGACTAGTGCTGCAATCTGGTGGATTTTAGTGGTACTATAGGTCAGTAATGGTCCCGATCAGTTCCATTCGTAGTTTCAGTAAAACTTTACTGCTTGCGGAAGCTTACGTAATGCTTACGTACATTATGCGTGTCATTATAATTGTGTTTTTTGGTGGTTATTTACTTGGTAGTGTTGAATGAGTAGTAAATATTAGTCGTAATGGCTGGTGACATGCTTGAGGATGACGATTTATTAGAGTTGTAGACTTTATTGTAGGCCAAATTTTTATTATAGGCCTAACTCAAGAAACCCCCGAACCCCACCCCCCCCCCCCCCCACAATCACAAATTTTAGTAGGGTATTGTTAAAGCTTAATGTTTTTGAAGATGTCTACAAACAATATTGATAACTATTTTCTTTAGAAAAACAACTGGTACAGTTTATTAAATCACAAGTAAAAATCGTCAAAAACGGCAAAAATAAGTGGCAATGGCGGATTTTGACTAGGCTACTTAGACGGCTACTTAGATGTTAAGGGGCTAAGAGTAAGTCACAAAAACAACATTCTCATCATTTTAGTAATAGATATAACAGTAGGCATAATTATGTAGAAGCAGTAACGAGTGCAAGCGATGATAACCCTAAAGCTGAAAGCTATGAGGAAGATATTCCAAATTTATTCAAAATGAATGAAAGTAAAGTAGAAAATGCTAAAGTAAGCCCTATTAAATTATAATTAACAGTTAAGTTAAAACCAATTCATTTTGAAGTTGACACAGGCGCAAGCGTAAGTGTATGTAGTTAAAACTTTTACAATGAAAATCTCAACACTTGTAAATTGTTATCCACTGACTTATCTCTGAGTTCGTACACAAATGAACCAATCGTTCCGTTAGGGAAAATTGAAGTAGATGTACAGTATCAAGGAGTAAACAAATGTCTAGAATTGTATGTAATTAAGAAGGGAGCTCATCCTCTGATAGGACGTAATTGGCTTCAGAGCCTTGGTGTGGAAATATCTTTCAAAGATAAAATTTTTGGCATTGATAATAACGCTAGTATCGATCAAACTGTAC